AAAACTAGTTAAAAATATTACACATAAAACTAGTTAAAAATATTACAAATAAAACTAGTTTTCCAAATGAAGTTTGACATGAAACCACGTCTTTGTGAACGTCGAGGCAACATTTACTCACTCCTTCTTCACTTTACCGTATAACCACTTACTTTGTGTGCTGTTTTAACTGTTAATACGTGAAAGTGTTTAGCTCTTTCAGGAGATGGGTACTCTTTATACTTTTTAATGTATTTAACTTTTTGAATACATTTTTTTTTCCATAGAAATACATTGAGAGCTCCTTGATGCCGTCAAAACGTCGTTCTTTCTGAAATCTGCTTCAGCAAACTGACTTTATTTTTGTTATTCTACTTTTAGCTTTCAGCTAGCCATTTGCTTGATTTAGTTTTTAGCTACATTTTGTTAATTTAAGCTTTTAACTAGCCTTTAGCTTTTCATTAGCTTGTCATGCTACTTTAAACTTTAATCTGTTTTTTTTTCTTTTATCCATTAGCTAGCCTTGTGCTAGTTTAGCTAACTTTTGCTATTGTTTATTCTTGCTACTTTGAGCTTGTAGCCAGCATTGTGCTATTTTAGCTTTTAACTAAATAAGATGCTATTCATATGACAGATTTTGTTGGCAGGCCTCAGACTGACAAAGCGTTTCTTCCAAGAATAATCTGTCCATATGGCCTGATTTGACTTATTTTGTGATTTATTTACCTGGATGATTGAGCTTATATACTTTATTTAAGTTTTGCTGCTTAGTTAGCATTTTACTTTTAGCATTTAGCTGATGTTCTGCTTCTTTTAACTTTACCATCTCAGGTTCACCTTCCTCAGTAAATTATCTTTCACAGTGCTCAGCGTTCTCACTGTAGGCTGTGAAAATGTACATTCTTTAGTTTAGCACCATGTTCAGTTGGACCAGACCTTTTCTTTACGCTTTGTTAGGAACTGACGTTCTTCCCAGAATATTCAATCACAGTTCCATGTTTGTCTCCTCTCTGGACAGCCAACGACGCCGGGTGTTTCTTCCGTTTTGACTCATTGTGTCCCCTGGTAGCGAGTTCCCCGTCCACTCAGTTAGCTTCTCCCATCTGTGGGTAAAAGTAACTTTAGGCCTGTTGTATTTTTCTGTTATCTGACCCCACAGACGATCACACCAGGGTCCGCCTGCAGCTGCTGGATGGAGACCCCCACTCCGACTACATCAACGCCAATTATATTGACGTGAGTCAATACACGATATACAATACATGATATACAATACACGATATACAATACATGATACACGATATACAATACACGATATACAATACATGATACACGATATGCAATACATGATATACAATACATGATATACAATACACAATACACGATATACAATACATGATACACAATATACAATACACGATATACAATACATGATACACGATATACAATACATGATATACAATACATGGTATACAATACACAATACACAATATACAATACATGATACACAATATACAATACACGATATACAATACATGATACACGGTATACAATACACAATATACAATACACGATATACAATACACGATATACAATACACGATATACAATACATGATACACGATATACAAAACACGATATACAATATACAATACACAATATACAATACATGATACACGATATACAATACATGATACACAATATACAATACATGATACACGATATACAATACACAATACACAATATACAATACATGATACACGATATACAATACACAATACACGATATACAATACATGATACACGATATACAATACACGATATACAATGCACAATACACAATATACACAAATTACTAAGCTTGTGCTAAATAACCACCATCTCCAACTCTCCATGTTTTTTGAACAGCCCACCTGCACTTTAGCAGAGGTTGAAAGCAAAAGTAAAATTTGCTGTGAAGGAACCAGAAACGGGCAGATGCATCTTGTTCTGAGGCCCGCGGGCTCTTTTAGTTGAAGGAACAAAACGTTGTTTTGACCTTTAACCATAATTGTACAATAAGTTTTTAAAGCACCGCTTTCTTTTAAATCCTCCTGACAAGGAAGTTTAACATCATGTTTTGAACGGGCATTTCTTCGTTAAACTCCAAAGAATAAGAATGAGCTCACATGTGTAACTCTTAAGGCCTGTCCTTATCCGTATATGGAAATTAAAACCAGACTTTCTGCTGTTCTTACGCTCTCTCATCCACACACAAACAAAAACTTTGGTGAAGAAAATGTTTTTTTAGATCTGCAAATAATTGTGATACAGAACCGACGATGTTTCTGTTTACGTTCTGTCTCATCGTATTCTGTTTCTGTCACGTTAAACTTTGATTTGGTGCTGAAACAATTAATAACAAGGAGGAAACTAAAGATTCTCATAAAAATTAAACTACAAATTAAACAAAACGGAGAAAAAGAAAACAATCTTTTCTGTTGATATTTGTTTTTATAAAACTTCTTTTTCTGACTCTCCAGGGTTACCACAGACCCAGACATTACATCGCCACACAAGGTAATTAACCTGATGCAAGGCCGTGTGCATGTGTGTGTGTGTGCACGCGCGCATGTGTGTGTGTGTGTGTGCGGCTTCCACCTGGTAAATTCTACCTTTCAGACTGGAAGGCCATTACCGCAGCCTCCTAAATCTGAACTGCTGTATAATAGACAAATTTAAGACCCCATTACCTCAAACCCCCAAACTACTATCTGGGATTGATGATGTGTGTGTGTTTGTGTGTGCATGTGTGTGTCAGGACCCATGCAGGAGACTGTGAGGGACTTCTGGAGGATGGTCTGGCAGGAGAACTCAGCCTCCATCGTCATGGTTACAAACCTGGTGGAAGTGGGACGAGTGAGTTCTTTATAAAATTAAGAATTAAAGAATAAAATGTATTAGTGTACATTGTTTACGGTCATGAAAACATGTCGGCAACAGTTCCTTGTTCAAACCTTTTGTATTTTAACTTTGTAGGGTTTGAATCCAAAACTCTTCATGTTCCAAACTGTTTACAACAAATAAATAAATAATAAATAAACAAACATTTATTTTTAACTACCGTAAGTTCAAATCAAGTAAACTTCCTGACAGTTAAACCCAACGAGCTGTTACATTGTGCAGTTGTTGTGGTGTTTCAGGTGAAGTGTGTCCGTTACTGGCCCGATGAGACGGAGGTGTACGGAGACATCAAGGTGACCCTGATAGAAACTGAACCTCTGGCTGAGTACGTCATCCGGACGTTCAGCGTCCAAAAGGTAAAGAACTTCGATCAGGAACATCTGGAGCTCTCTCCTGCCTCACCGCAGCTTGTTGGAAACTCAACCCCGGACTTCTGCACCGGTCGATAACTGAGAAGCGTTACTTCGTAGTTTCTTGCTGGTTTAACTTAAACTGGGCCCTTGAGCTCAGGCAGGAGGCCTCTGTGAATTAAAACAGATCACGTGTCATCATCTTTGTGCTTTTCACTGTTCGTTCGTGTGAAGATGACAGAAAATAAAACCCACTACTCTGAGGGACAACGGCTCTGAGCACAACTCCTCGTCTTTCCAACCTTTCCCTTTGCTTTGTGTGCAGGCAGAGCAGGATACGAGATAAAACGATCAGCTCGGGTATCGTTGTCTTCTCTTTGAGAACAAACGGTCTTCAGAAGACGAAGCGAACACTGAACGCAACAAAACCCTTCGAAGTTGTATTTGTGTAAGAAATGTGTGAAGTTCAGCCGATGCTCCACACAGCTGAGATAACATCAGCTGAAACATTACTTCACCTTTCAGTCGTGTAACAAAAAGCTTAAGAATTCCTACATCTCGCAGCAGATTTCAGATTCTGTCGTGTTTTTCCTGCTTTTTCTGCACTTTACTCAGTTTTTTGCTCCGTCCTGTATTTCCTCCCCCTTCAGTGAAAGCAGCTTATCAAGACGAGTCCTCCAGTCCTCGCTGTCAGCGTGTTTAGCAAGCCATTAATCCACTACACCTCGGTGTGTGTGCGCACGTGCACAAGTACTCAAAAGGGAAGCTGATTTCAAAAACGCCCGTCGTATTTCAGGACGCATTAATGTGTCCAAACAGCCGTCACATGTCCCCATCCTGCCTGTGGAACAGGTCGAGGACAAACAAAGAGGCTGAGAGTCGGTGTCTGCAGGCGGCACGCGACAATTCAACTGCTTCAGCCGCAGTGAATAACGAGAGCAGGCTCTTAATGAAAACATTTATTAATGCCACATCCGAGGAGATTAACGGAGCGCTGAGTAAGAGCGGCTGACACAGACTCTGCGGAGGAAAGTGCCTTCGAGGAAAAGCAGGAGAGCAGACGAGGTGCAGGGCGGAAAGAAGCAAGACGACAAAACGTCGTTTAGAGTCAGTCATGAAGAAAAGCTGCGCTTCTGTTGCACGAGTTTTATCTGTGAGGGAAGATTTCCACCAAACACGCAGCAGAAACGAGTTAAACTTCTGCTGCACCCTGACTCTGGAAAAGATCAAGTCTGAGACCTGGTTGGAGTCTCGTGTGTAAACTAACGGTAAACTGAGCGCTGGTCGGGATGTTGTCGCTGTTTGTATTTGGTACGAACACGAATGTTGTGTCTGACGCTCATGGAGGTTCCTGCTGCACGTGGAAGGCTTGAAGATGAGGAAGTTGCAGATGGTGCTACGCTCCCATGGGGTACCTGTCTTGTTGTTTCTGACGTTTTGTTCTCCACGTGACGTTTCTGCAGAGCGTCTGGTGTTCAGCAGCGTGGTCTCAGTTCCTCCGCTGGTCATGTCTGGACATCAGACATCTCTCAGCATCTAGCCGTGGTCTTCCCCTCCATCTTTCTCCGCTCTTTGCACTCAGTGGCAGATCTCTGAGTGCTGGTGTCACTTCTTCTTCTCCTCATGTTCAAGTAAAGTCCAAACAGGAACTCAGACTTTAGCTGCTTCCAGGTTCCTGTTTGTGGAACTCAAACAGGAAGTGATGGTCTTGTGTTGGTGATGATCGTTCCAGAGTTTTAGATGAGACCTGCAGATGTGAGCGTGCCAGATGTGTAAAGAGTTGTTTTCTTCAAGTCGTGCACGTTATGGGGAGCGGGAACAGAAACAGGTTAGCAGCTGAAGGACCCCCCCCCCCCCCCATGTGACATTTACGTCTGAAGAGAAGACGGGAAGCACGTCACCGCCAGCTTTATAAAAATTTACATTTTGCATGTGAAAACAAACGACAGACAAACGTGACGTTTGAATTTAATAGTTTTTGTGTTTAACCACTTTATTTCAGAAACCTTTATGGGGATCCGTACCCTGAAGACCCGCGATAAGTGAAAAACCGTGAAGTAGGAATAGATTGAACAGAAGTCGGCGGTGGACCCTTGCAAATAAATAATTAGACATAACGAGGATGTTTGTACATAAACAAATCCAGACGGTCTTATCTGAGTGGAAAGAAGCAGAAAAGGTTTTATGAAACTTTTAGAAATCAACATTTTACCCAGAAATAAATCACTTTTCCCATTTATTGCACTTCTCATCCGGTGAATGTTTACAGACGAGGACAAGAGTTTTCATCATTTCCTGCATGAACTGTGTTCTTAGTGCTGGGAAGTAAAGAAACCAGTTCCCATCAGGTCTGTTTATTTGAGACTGACATCTTCTTTGGCTCCATGCGACTTTGTAGTGAACGCCTCTCTTTATATTCCACACATCGAGGAATATCTGCGTCACTTGGATCTGTTGTCTGAAGGACATCGAGACGAATATTTGACAGGAGCTAACTGTCCGTCCTGCCTCTCCGAGTAACGTTCACATGCCCAAACATCCCGACTGTCGAGTGTAAAATAATAAAAAATGCATTTTATCAGAATGACCCTGATGCTGTAGCTTCAATCGTGTTCTTGATATAAAATAATATCCGGAGAACAGATGATTGCTGCTATGAAAAGAAACCATTTGCAAAACGCTCTTGGACATATTTATAGTCAAGGATTCAAGGTCCTTTATTGTCATTCACATCACGTGGTACATGTGGTGGAACAAAACTGTGTACACAGGGTCCCAGTTACATCCAACAAAAGTATAAAGTGTCAAATAAAAACAGCAATAAGGTCTAAGATATGAACCAAGACAAACGTTAAGTAGAGATACACTAAGCACTAATAACATAAAAACAATACGCTGAAGAGCAGCACGAACATGAGTCTGTGTGAGCACATGAGTATCAGATGAGCACATGAGTCTGTGTGAGCGCATGAGTCTGTGTGAGCGCATGAGTATCAGATGAGCACATGAGTATCAGATGAGCACACGAGTATCAGATGAGCACGAGTATCAGATGAGCACACGAGTATCAGATGAGCACATGAGTCTGTGTGAGCACATGAGTATCAGA